TATTAAAAGTCTAATCTTATCCCCCGCTGAAAGAAGCAACCTTGTGTTGGTTTCCTTCTGCAACCATTTTGATTTAACTTTTTTTTTTTTGGAGTATAGGATATTTCTATCGTGTTATATATTTCTATAAATATTAAATTTAGTTAAAATCTTGTCAAAACAAAAAAGGTATATTTTTTCATGCCTTGTCGTAGAATTTGGCATCGTTTAGTTCGTTGATTCGAGTTTTTAATTTGAGTTGAAATTTGATTTTATATGAGAGTTTTTTACTATAACACAAAAAATTAAATGTGACTTTTTGTGAGAATTTTTAACTGTAGTAAAATTAAAGTTAAAAACTCGAGTCGATAAAATGAACAAACTTTTATCTTTTTAATACAAAAATTAAAGCATGAATGAATGATGTTTCAAACGAATTCAAAGCACAAGCAATCATGACGTCATGTAATAAAATGCCCCGCTGGAATATTTCATTAGGGGTGTAAGTAGGCCGGGTAGGCTTGGGTTGGGCCTAAAATTTGGGCCGAGCCGCTACATTCGGGGTGAGGAAAATTTGGGCCGCAGCACTGTATTTGGCTCACAAACCCGTGACCCTACGGGTTACCTCGGGTAGGCTTAGTTTTGTGGGCTGGGCGGGTTGGGCCTGGACGTTTGACTGTGCCCCTGGCAACATGTTGGAAAGAAAACAAGATTATGGGCGTTGTCGGCATATTTATGGTGTCTTTGAACGAGAAAGGTACCCACTCTGCTGGTAATGTGATTTACCCACTCTTGCCTAAAACCTCAATTGTGGTGTAGAGCATTGAGTGCCATTTTCCATTCTTGCAGTTTCTTGTGTGATGAGGAGCTCAGCTGCGGGATGCACAGAATTATAACCAACAAGAGTCAAGAATAACACCCGATCAACTAGATCCAGCCTCAACTTCTCTTTCTAAACTCTACAAAACCATCTCTCACTGTAACGCAAAGAGATTCGTTCATTGGCAAAGAGGAAGCTGCAAGGGTGGAAGGAGAGGGAGGCTAGCAGAGAGAGAGAAACTGAGAAGTTGGGGTTGGGCCTATTTGAATATGAGAGAGAGAGAGACTGAGAAGTGCGAATATATTTTTTCCCACTGATCTTATCGACCGGGTCGGGGAGTATCGGGCCAAAGGAAACCTGGCCCGCGGGGCAACCCGTAATGTGCAGGTTGAGTTTATTTGAATCTGAGAAAAAAAAAAAGAAATCCACAAATTTCGGATAAGATTGGTTTGAGTTGGACGGATTAGTCGAGTTCGGCCCAAATTCTTACAGCCTTATATTTCATGTTTCCGTTTAACTTGATATATATATATATATATATATGCATCGTTCATTTCACCGATTCGAGTTTTCAATTCTAAGTTTCTACAGTAAAAAGCTCTCAAAAAATGTCACATCTAACTTTTTCTGCTACAGTAAAAAGTTCTCACAAAATATCACATCTTAACTCAAGTTGAAAACTCGAGTCTGCGAAGTGAACGACGCCATAATATTTTTTGCTAGAACATTCAACTCGATAGTTACTAACTTGTTGCTTATAAAACTCTAGTCACTACGCACTACTAGCAGTAATGAATACAGAAGTAGTATTGTATTCTACAGTTCTCAACTATAATTGTTACACCATGGTCGAGCAATTGACCGTGCTCTCGAACGGCAAGCGCCGAGGACTCCCCGTTGAGAATCAGTCGCTGGCGTCGAGGGAACGGATGTAGCTAAAGTGCCCTTTGGACGTCGAGAGCCCATGCGGGGTGATGCGCGTCGAGCATCATTCCTCGACTTGTAGTGACCATTGCGTCGAGGCAGCATGTCCAGTCAACTCCATCAACAATCTTGTCAGCTCAGGGGAGGATACACTGTACCAACTGCTACTGTCGCAGCCAGGAAGTCAGGTAGTCGGCAGGAGAGGTTGGCCTGATTTCCTAGGATTGTTATCATGAAAATGCACCTACGTCACCCCTAAATCCCGGGATTGAAGTTTGTTCCCTTGAGAAATGCAGATGAGATCATTACATGTAAAAGCCTATAAATAGAGAAAAAGAAACCCATTGAAGGGTTATGGACTATTCCAAGATAGAAGAAATAACTTGTAATCCCAGAGAGATTAGTGCATCCACAAGTGGACTAGGCCAAGAAATCTTGCCGAACCACTATAAATCCTTGTCTTCTTTACATTATTTCATTATTTTAATCTCTAATTAACCCACGAGTAGCGTTGTGAGAATTCCCAGAGAGGTAATTACGAGTTGTCAGAAAAACACCGTCAACAACTGACGCTAGAAGGAGGGCTCCCAAGCACAGAAATCTAATCCGGTTTTAAAAAGGAAACATTAAGCATGCCTCCCAAGAATACTCGCGGCGTGACGGCCAACCAGAAAAGCCCGGTCGACCAAACTCCCACTGTCGCAGGGACTTCAGCGAATCCACCCTTACCGGCCACTGGAAATCCCCCCGACCGTATTGACCAGCTTCAAAAGCAGGTCAAAACGCTCGCTGCCACTGTGGAAAGGATGGCTACAGCTCTTGCCGGGCGAGATCAAGGGCAGAACCCGATGCCACCCTTGGAGGACGCACCGATGAACCCAGTGAACGCCGCTGTTGGGAACCAAGAGATTGGTGATCAACGCGGTGACGCCGAGGAGGTCGGTGACAGTGGAGCCAACAATCCTCGCCCAGCCAGGTCGAACAGGTCTGTGGGAAGCAGACAACGGGGGGCAAGGCGGAGAGCACTAGAGCAGGCGGCGGCACAAGCTGTGAATAACAGGGACGTGCCACCTCGACCGCAGCCGGACACGAACAATAGGAACGCTGTCCCCGTGGAATCCTCGTCTACGCGCGGGCGAGACTTCAGGACAAAGCTGAACGCTCGACGTGACAAAGGCGTTTAGCAGACTAGAGAGGAAGAGCTCGCGGTCGAGAACAAAGCCCTGGCTAAAAAGATGGCCAGGCTGGAAAAGTAAATAGGGAGTGGATTGAACAACTTTGAGCAGGTCATGGGAAAGGTGGCCGAAACTGTAAACGTCGACGCCAAGATGTACACATCCCACGACCACCTATTTACAGAGAGCATTATCTGGGCACCATTGCCCGACAAGTACAAACCGCCCCTCCATTCCGCTATATGCCAGAAGGAGTTATCCGGATGATCACGTAGAAGTTTACACATGGCATATGGTCCTGCATGGGTATCCCGAGGAGGTTATGTGTCGGGCCTTCAGGAATCACCTTTCCGATTCTGCCAGGAGATGGTTCAGGTCCCTGAAGCCAAATTATATTACTAGCTAGGACGATTTAAAGAACGCCTTCCTGACTCAGTTCATAAGTGTTAAAAAATACGTCCCACCTAAACAAAACCTGTCAATGGTATACCAGGGGCCTAATGAATCCTTGAAGGACTAGATAACCCGATTTGGGGAACAGGTGGCTGCTACCGAGGAAATCTCTGACAAGGTAGCCCTAATGGGGGCACTGTCGAGCATGAAGAGGGACATCCCCTATAGTACAGACCTCGATCGGAGGCCACCCCACACCTACCAGGAATTCCTGACAAGGGCGCAGGGATTCATCAACGCCGGGGAGGCTAAGAAGGCCTTGAAGAACAAAGCGGCGACCCCTGCCAAGGAAGAGGTAGGGCAAGTGAGTAGTCAAAACAACAGTAAGAAGCGCTGAGCTAACCCTCAGGTGCAAGCCGAGCAGAGGTATAACTCAGCTCCCAACAACAGGGGTGGCAACGCCTCGACGAGCCAAGGGGATAATAAGCGGCCAAAGCCGCAGAAGTACGACGCCTACACCCCTTTAACCATGGGAATCAAGGATGTCTATCACGAGATCAGTCACCTCTAAGTCCTGCGTTGACCGACGCCGCTGAAGTCTGACCTGACACGGAGAAACCAAAACAAATATTGTAGGTTTCACGGCAAGAGTGGGCATACCACAGCCGAATGCTACGACCTAAGGGACGAGGTCGAGAGATTGATCCGAGAAGGGAGGCTCGGTGAGTACCGAGCCGACAGTCAGAGCAACAACAATTGACGAAACAACGACTGACAGAAGGATCAGAGGCATGACAATCCCAGAGAGATTAGTGCATCCACAAGTGGACTAGGCCAAGAAATATTGCCGAACCACTATAAATCCATGTATTCTTTACATTATTTCGTTGTTTTAATCTTTAATTAACCCGTGAGTATCGTTGTGAGAATTTTCAGAGAGGTAATTACGAGTTGTTGAAAAAACACCGTCAATAATAATTAATAAAAAAAATTACAGTTTTTGGCAAAAATTAATAATGATTTCAATCATCAAATTAATCCAAATTAATTCCAAGCCATAAACGGTGTAATTCTCTGGTATGAAGTATGTAATGAAGTCTTGTACGTCTTGATTACTTCAACACTCACCGACACCTATTCATCCAAATTCCCAATCTCTTCTCTCTGTCAGCCCGTAACGTACGCTTTTGTCACGTGAATCACGTGATCAGATTACCACTGTACAAAAGTGAGCATCATATCATTCTCTCAAATTCCACAGCGAAAACTGTACTGTCAGACCACGCACGCGCTTTCCGGCCAATCATTTGACTTCGTTGACTTCACGAAAGGCGTAAACGCGTATAACAAACCCAAAATTTCAAACTTATACGAATGGTAGATTCTTCAATCTTCAGGCACAGTTCGATTTATTTCCCTGTAAAAAAAAAGACTGTTACAATCGTCACCGACACCTTCTTCTACGTCTTTTTGCACGTTGCTCTTTACTTGTTTGGTTGCTATGAAACTGAAGAAAAATCAAAAAAGAAAACATTTTTGAATTGAATATTTTTCTATTTTTAATTGTGAGGAAGCCGGTGGATGGTTAGTACGATGATAAGCTCAGCCTAGCGAACTTGTTATATCTTCCGAAAGGTCAAAATCCGCACTAACTCGTTTAATTAATAGTTCTATAAGAACCTTTGAAAATTTCAAATCATATTATTCTATTCCCACCATTTCTCGCTAACCAAACAGACAAATCGAGTTTAAATGAAAAAAGTTCTCCAAATGTCGTAATTTGGAAAAAACACTTTCCACGTCTCGTTCAAACTTATACACCAATTTACGATATTAAGGGGAAAAAAAGAAGAAAAGAAACTATGTGAAATTACAAAAAACATAATTACAATTGCCGTCTTTCAACTATCAAACGACGTCAACATCGTCGTCGTCCTCATTCCCCGACGACGACGGAGAATTAGAAAACGACGCCGTCGAGTTCGCACAGAACTGAAATCTCTGAATCTCCATGGTTTCCAAGAGAAAGTGCCCCAAAGAATCCACAGTTTCCACCAAATTCTCTGGGCAGAGAAACTCATCGCTGAAAATCCTCTCAACTTCTCTCCCAAAATCATGAACGAAAACGTGAGTCTTCGAGACGCCGCCGCCTTTCTTGCTACGCGACAGCACCCCCGCCGTGAAGATCGCCGACATCCTCCCCGGCGCCGCCGGGAAGTAGCCCCTGGGTCCGTCGACCAGAATCACATCCCAAGGGACCTGGTAAATGTGATTCGGCAAATCGTTAATCCCTAGCTTGCAATCGGAGAACAGGAGGTTCTGAACCGGCCGGCACTCGTCCTTCACCTGAGATTTCGCCGCAGACAGAAGCTCCGGGAAGTCCTTCACCTTCGTGGTGTACTGTACGTCGTAGGCCTCGATTCCGGGATGCGACTGCTCGAATCTGGAGACGAGAAACTCGCTCTCGTCGAGGAAAACGGAGCAACCGTTGTGGTTCAGCGCTTGCCAGAGGAGCGACTCGTGCGTGAGGCCGAAGATGAGGAAGTTACACGCCGGCGAGCAGTGGCGGAGCGCGGCGGCGATGGATTCGACCTCGGCGGAGGACATGTGGCCGCCGGAGGCGGCACCGGCGGCGGAGGAGTTGGCGAGTGAGGCATAGTGGAGGAGAGCGTCGGCGACGGAGGGAGGAAGCGGGGCTGAGGAGGAAAAGGCGGCGGCGGCGGCGGCGGAGGAGTGGAGGTGGTGGGTTGGGAGGGTGGAGTTGATGAGGGTTAGAGTGAAGGCTAAGGTGAAGAAGCTGAGGAAGAAGATGAACCAGAGGCGGTGGGAGGAGAGAGAAACTCCATTGTTGTTGTTTTGCTTGGTGTGGATTGAGGGATGAAAGAATATGAGCTTTGTGTTCGTGTTGCTCTTCATTCTTCTCCCTCTTTCTTGATTTAGAGAGAGAGGGAGAGTCTAGAGATGGGTGAGAGTATATGAAATTGAATTGTTAAAGATGGCAGCTTTGGAAGTTGGGTCGTACCTACGTGGATGCTTCTCTTTTTCTCCTTTTTTCTTTAATTGGTTTTTTTATTATATTTGGATTTGCTTTTTATTTACTGGAGAGTTTTTTCAAGGCGGGTTCAGATTTTTTCCCATAATTTTCTTGCTTACTTAGGTCCCGTTTATTTTGTCGATTCAAATTTAAAATTTGAGTTTTACTATAGTAAAAAGCTCTAAAAAATAGTCACATTTAACTTTTTTACTATAGTAAAAAGTTCTCACACAAAATCACATCTCAACTCGAATCAACGAAGTGAACGGGCCCTTAGAGTCTGTATTTTATTAATTTAAATTTAAAATTTAAATTTTATTATATTAAAAAATTCTCAGAAACAGTCATATTTAATTTTTTATTACAATAAAAAATTTTCACATAAAATTATATTTTAACTTAAATTAAAAATTCGAATCAGCGAATTAAATAGACCCTTATTATGTCAACACCGATTTATATCTTCATTTATTTTCTCTGTCTTGTTTAATTTTTCTTTTGAAAAAAAAAAAAAAAAAGAGAAACTACTAAAAAACGGTTTGAGAGAGAGAGAGAGAAAATTCATCGAAGAATGAAAGAGAGAGAAATCACGGACGATATTAGTGGGGGCTTTCAGACACAAAGAGAAGGAATGGACGTGTGGAGTCTGGAGAGTCGAGACTGTGGGACCCTGGTGGGACTCAGTCCTTATATGGAGGGAAGTAGGAAGGTCTGCCGACTTAAATCTCAATACGTCGTTATGCATCACTACGACGTCGTTTCCTTCATTATTATTGTTTTTTTTTTTCCTCCGATAAATTCATTATCATAGTTTGTATCTTATGCTGTTCTTATGGTACTATTCTTTGCTAATCTTGTTAATGCTTTGAGTTCTATAAGGGATAACAATTTGATCCGTATTATAAAAAAAAGCAAAGAAACAGTTCGCATAAAACAGGGCAGAAACAAAGGGGTGGAAAGGAAATTATATTATATATATGTTTCTAACTTTAAACTAGAAACTCATCCAAGTGACAAAAGAATGTATATATAAGACACTAGTTAGACTATAATTTAAAAAAAAAAAAAGGAAAAAAAGAAAAAAAGAAAACTTTTGGTAGCAGTTTTAATTCTTTGTACTCAGAAAGAGTAAAAAAAACTTGTGACTTTATATAAGAGGACTTTTAATTTAGTTACTAAAGTAGGTGAAGATGTTTGATAACTAAATACCCAGCTGAGAAATTGACGTCTTCAAATTAGTAGGTGAAGATGATTGATACTTGTTACCGAATATTGTTTCTAACTAAGTTTATATATGAATCCTTGTCCCGCTACTGAATTGGTTCTATATATTCCCCGTAAAAAGTTGTTGATTTTTATGCCCAAAGGATATAATCAGTAATCTTATTCCTGAAACAAAGGTGAATGGAGTCACTCATTTGTGGCAAAAAGAGTGGAGATGTCCAACCAAACTATGAATATATACGCCGCATTCAACGGTTATAGTATAATTTGTTGTTGTTTCCAAACATGTCGACAGTGGATCCATGCGTTTTGAAATTAGAAAAAGAAAAGCAAAAAGTTTTAGGTTGCATTTGTTCCAGACGTGGAATTTTATCACACAAGTGGATACGCATTAGAAAGTCTTAAGACTTTTAATTTCAACTGACTTCACCTAACGATAAATGTACATTACTGCTTTCAATATATATATATATCGAGGTATATATGCCAGCCCATTCGATTCTGAGTTAAAGTTAACAACTTAAGTTGAAAGTAAATTTATGTAGGAAAAAAATATTATATTAAAAAAAGTTGAATTTAAATTTTAGTGATAAAAAGATTGTAATAAAAATTTGAGTTATGATTCAAATTGTGAGATAAACAGAGTAGAGTATAAATCTTCAAGTTAAAAAATATATATATATTTTTTAGGAAGGAATATATTTTCATTGGCTCCAAATTTGATATTTTTTTTCCCAAGTCCGGACGACAGTACTGCAGGCTACAAGGTTGTAACATTATTGAATAACTAATGGGACATGAGACATGTAAATTTCATCTTTCATATGAAAAGAAAAAGACATCTTAATATCATGTTTGTTGAATACAGAATTAATTTGATATTTGAATGAATGGTGTACATGCAAACATCTATATACTTCTTGATTTTTGATTTGGTCAATAATGCTTAGGAAATTCGGCGGTTGAATTCAGTTAATCATCATGCCTCATGAATATAGATTGTAATAAATTTAAGACTAAAATTTTTTTGATGATGGGGCTGGAACATAAATGGCATGTTAGTTGGAGCTATTAAAACTGCAGTACTTTGAGATGTGTAGTACTATTGAACAGAAAGCTAAAATTTTACAATTTTGTACTTGTTAATTAACAATTTTTTTATTTTTTATTTCTTTTCTCTTTGTAGAAAGCGATGTTTTAAATACAAGATATACGTATTTGATCGCTGAGCTTTTCTGTTTTCAAGGAGATATCCACTGAAAAAAGAGGGATACATATGTCTAATTAATTTATTTGTTTTAAGAATGTTATTAAGTTATGAAAATGAGGGACACTACCTAAAAAAACAGGAGATACTACATAAGAATCATGACAAAAATACGTATGATTTGTTTTACATGAAATAGAGGCCGATTTATAACGAAAGGATATCATTAAGGTATGATTTGTTTCACTCATGTCATAATTGTGCCAGGAGGGAGTAGACGGCCTCCATCATTTCCGTAAAAAAAAAAAAAAAAAAAAGGTTGGCCTCCACATGATAGTTGGGGGAAGTTTTTTTTTTTTTAATTTAATAAAAAAAGAGAAGAAAAAACCACGCTGAAATCATAAAAGGCTCCGTTTATTTTACCGATTCGAGTTTATAATTTGAGTTTTATTGCAGTAAAAAGCTCTTAAAAACAATCACATTTAATTTTTTTTGTATAAAAAAAAGTTTTTATATAAAGTCACATCTCAACTCGAATTAAAAATTCGAATCAACGAACTAAACGGGCCCAAAAACTGTTTATTTTCAACTTCTATTATTATTATTATTATTATTTTCATGGTTGGTTGAGTAACTTAAGATGTTCAATGGACAGATCAAATAAGCATTCTGATAGACATATACATTAAGGTACAGATAGCCTTCTACCCCAGCAACCTATCGACCATTAATATCACATCCCGGTCTGTTTAGGACAGTGGAATCCATTATAGATTTTATTGGTAGGCATCTTTAAAATTTTAGCCTCAGACTACTCCTAACATTAAACAGGACACAACAACTTATGTAATATTATTCACTCGTTTCGTTCTTTTTCATAAAAATATTTACAAAACATTGGCAATTTTAAATTTTATAGTCTGCTATAAAATAATATTGATATGAGTCAGTATCTAATAAAAAAAAATTGAAAAAGCTTGAAAATTTTGAATATGATTACCCGGTAGGTTATAGTGCGTTTCACATCAAATAGCCGATCATACTTTTTTAAAGGAAAGTTGTTTAATTAGCATTTTGCCTCGCTAGCTGTACCGTCTCTTTAGTCTATTATATGTTTGATCAGGTTAGTTAAAAGACATGCTTTTCCCAAGCACAATGTGCTTTTCCTCTCTTGTTATTTGTTAATGGGACATATAATGCTTATTATGCTTTAGAATTTTATGGGAATCTACCTATGATCTAATTGATGATAAACTTGAAAATAATAGTAATATTGCTTCCTTTCCCTTGCCAACGACACATAGCTTTTGAAGGGTTTTAGTGGAAAGTTTATTTAAAATACTGATCAACATGATTAGTTGCATATAATAATATGGCCATATGCAAAAAGTATGGCAAACTTGCATTCAACAGTCCCAACTAGTTTTAGTACTCTTGGGTAATATATTTAAAGACTGAAAAAGCAAAAGGAAATTCCTTAATTGAAGATTTTCTATTAGATTTCTCACTCGTTGAAATATGCTACATATAACTGGTATCCACTATAGTATTTGAGCAAAGTCCTAAGTTTAAATTCCGATAGTACTTGAACATATTATCATATTGGACCTCTCGAACTCATATTGGTCTACACATTACATTTTGTACAGGCTTAAATAAATACCAACAAAAGCGAGAATGTACGATATAAAAACAAATAAATAGGTGATGTACTACTTTTACATGTGTGTGTGTGTATATATATATATATATATATATATACATATATATTTACA